ACATCACAGTGGAGTCAGCTGTCTTAACCGTGGCTTGTGTACTGCAAACACATACCAGCTTCATCACTGTCTGTCACGTGACTCTGTTCCCCTTTCGCGCTGTCTTTACATTTATTTTGAAAGATGAAGCTCGCGATTATGGTAAGGGGCGTTACATTTCCGACGAGTGCTTGCGGTGTTCGGCCAATCACAATGCACTGGGTCAGCTGGCCAATCAGAGCAGACTGCGCTTGTCGGAAGGAGGGACTTTGTAGAAAACGAAGTGTTTGAGAGAGGCGGGGGATAGAGGACCTACAATAATGTACAGTATTTGAAAAATAATGTGTTTTTTGAACATTAAAGCATGTCAACTTATTCTGTTACACCAAATACACAAAATAATGATCTTTAAAAAAAGCATCATATGACCCTTTTAAAATATCTCTTTTTGAGCTCCAGGATAGAACAACAGTGATATCTTTGAGTAAATAATGCATTTCCACATTGGGTGAACAAACCTGAGCCCCACTAACCAACATTTCAGAATCAGAAAAAGCAAGGGCGTAGATTACGCCACTTTTAATATCACGTAAATTCATCCCCCGCACTTTTTTGGGCAAGTGTGTTCACACAGAGGTTTTCAAGAGCCGGTGTGAATAAATATAGATTTAAAGGAGACAGTCATATGAGGAAATTCCTAATATGGACAAAAGCGTCCAGCTATGGCTGTATGAAAACAGTTGTTTTCAGAAAAACAGAAACGTTTGGAAACATGAAGACTTTAAACATACGATTGCGACATTATGGTTTATTTGTGTTTGTCAAGTCATCTCCAGGTAATAAATAAAGTATATGAACAATGCAGTGCTAACTGACATAGCATTTATTACAGTATTGAAACTATTATGTGATTAAAAAAAGTGTTTGTAGTATATAAGCAAATCATTATTATTGGTTATTGTCCAGCAGTTATCTGATTTCTAAGCCAATTAAAAGCTAGAAATGAGAGAAAAATGTAAGTTGACTATAGGCTACACTACCAGTCAAAAGTTTTTGAACAGTTAGATTGTTCATGTTTTTTAAAGAAGTTTATTTGATCCAAAGTACAGCAAAACAGTACAATTTTGAAATATATTTCAAATAACTGTTTTCTATTTGAATATATTTTAAAATATAATTTATAGGGATTAATTTTTTGCATCATTACTCCAGTCACACTATCCTTCAGAAATCATTCTGATATTCTGATTTGCTGCTCAAAAAA